GTTAAGTGATGCCTACAAACGTTAAAATATATTTGCTGACATATACATTAGTTCTAAAACATCACTATTTTCTTACTCTGGACAGGGCACTCTTCATAAGGAGTGCCGTTATCATATGACAGCCATTCAGTGAGTGATCTGGATGAAACATTTGCTGGCTTCAATCCACCTCCTACAGGAAAGGTGTCCACATCACAAAAAACACCAGTACACTTAATCTAAAATGACATCCTTACTGGAAATTTCAGGGAGATGTAGTTAACGTTTGCACAGCACAGTGTAGGTGCAAAGTTCTGTAAGAGCTAAGGATTATTATTCATTATGAGAGGCCAAGGACTGAAAGGAGCTTAACTGTATTCCCTGAAGTTCAGGGTTGAGGTGTTTTACCCAGACAGGGTGGAAAACCTCACACTGCCTTTGGCTTTGGTTTCCAGTGTTTTTCACAAACCATAAACATAGTTAAAGAAAGAATAAACTGAGAAAATGCTTTTCATACACTCACTAGACGAGTATAGTACAGATTCCTCACTCACTAGCTGGATACTTTTGTACTGAACTGCTACAAAAAAATAAGAGCATAACTGAAAACAACTTTAGTTTACTGTATTAACAGAGATGTTTTCATCTACCTGTTCTAGTGCCAGCTTGTTGATGAAGTGCAGAATATCCACTGCACTGATATGGCTTTTTATTATGATTTATTATTTACGATTGCATTATAATTTAAAATGATGCAAACTGCTGCAGAAACTTGCAACAGTGCATTGCTTAGGTACCCAGTGGTAGGGTTTATCAGGGTGAAGGTTCGATGGGCCTGCTTAACGGGGGAGCCCCAACTGCTGCCAAGGGGATGCTGCATGCCAGGCTCCCGCTTCCCCCCGCAATTCCCCTATCCCCTTTTCTTCCCCATCTCATCCCCCTCACCCACTGCCTCACCTGCCTCCCCTCACTCCCACATTCCGCTTCCCTATTCCACACCCCCTTTCTTCCCTACTGCCTCTTCCCCGCAGCCCCTCACCCCCACTCTCCCTTACTCAGCCCCACCACAGGCACTCACAATTGCACAGAAAACAGGAAGGCTCTCAGCACACAGAAGGGTAACATGACTGGCACTAGGACCCAAGAGGCAGCATTCAGCTCCAGAGTCAGCATCCCTGAGACTCAGCCTCCTTCAGCTGGGCAGGTCTGCACTTGCAGAAATGAGAGAGGGACAGTGGCACGTAACCCCGTGTATGCCCCCATGCCTCACCTCTGTTTGGGAGAGGCAATCCCCAGAAAAACCATGGTCATCTCCCCTGCGCAGCTTCCCTTTGCTTCCCTGATATTTTCTGCGGGGAAGCACAGCAATTGTGCAGAGGGAGGGGCTTTTTCTGCAGGCACACAATCCCACAGAATTCCCCCAGGAGTAAGTTAAGGGTTGGGCACCCAGAGAGTTAGTACTCCACAAGCTGGGGTGTAAATCTACAGCCCACAAACCTGCCAGTGGACCTTTCTACCATGCACTAAAAGCTCCCTAGTGCACTTTGTTTAAACAGTAGTATGTCAAAATCCACTATGGAAAGCAGTAGGTTAAAGTGCACTAACTTTTAATGCATAGTAACATCGTCTACATCATGGTCAGTTGTGGGCAACAAGCCAGTGCACTGTAGATTTACACCCCAGCCTCCCATGCACTAAGGATATGTCTTCACTAGTAACGTTAAAGCGCTGCCACAGAAATGCTTTAACATGGCTGTGTAGTCGTGGCACTGGGAGAGAGCTCCAGGAGGGGAGTGGCTCCCAGCGCTGGTGCACTTTCTACACTGTCACTTTACAGTGCTCAGGGGGGTGTTTTTTCACACCCCTGAGTCAGAAAGTTGCAGCGCTGTAAAGTGGCAGTGTAGACAAGGCCTATGTCTCAGTAGATATGTCCATGCTGGGGAAAAAAAAAACCCTGCAGCAGAGCCCAGGTCTACAGACTCTGCCTCATGTTACAGCACTAAAAATAGCCATATAGATGTTTCCACTCAGGCTGGAGCTTGGGCTCTGAAGCTCAGGGAGGAGAGTAGGGGTTTCAGAACCTGAGCAGGAACAGTTACACCGTTATTTTTAGTGCCATAGCATGAGCCCCAGTCTGTAAACCCAGGCTCTAAGACTCACTGCTGGGGAGGTGAGGTGGAGTTGCAGCATAAACACACCCAGTGTGCACAAGTCCATAGAGTGAACTAGAGTGTCATTCTAGAGAACCGGCATAAGAATAGACCATGAAAGTTTTTCAGAAAAAAAACCTGCCTGAACTAAAGTCTTTCACACCATCTGATCAATTCCTAACCAGAAAGACAAAAAGAATGTCTCAAAGGGGGGAGGGCGGGGGAGTTAGCCAACTGCCTGAGAGTGTCTTTTTCATGAAGCATGGACCAAAGCCTGTGGCACAGCAGATACAGTATATGCTTCCATTTCCCCTATTCCTAAAATACAGCAGGGCTGTGAACATTATCCCTGACTTTCTGATACAGTGAATTTTTGTCTAGATAAAGACAATGACAGGTAAGGTTTTCCCTGCTTATCTATTTTTTAAAAATTATTATTAAATATTCTTGATACTTGTCCTCTTTCATCTGACATTTCTAGAACAGGTAAGTTAAAGTGAATTTTGGAAAGGACTGAATTCCACTTTTATGATGGAACATATTTAAACTCAGTACTACATACGATCTTCAGCACTCTGTGGATTTCCCATGCATGTCAATGTGAGGTTTGATCAAAGATCAAATGTAGATTATGGCCTGTCTAGTTTAAAAAAAAAAAAACACTTTTAAATACATTAGTCTCTGTTAAATCACGTTTAGCATTGGTCAGTGGAAAAATATTCTCACCTTTAGAAACAATGCTATTTCTGCAGTGTTTCTCTCCCTTCCCCATCCTCCTCTCTCTTTCTTTCTCACTTCCATATCTGTGTGTGTATGTGTGTCGCATTTTTCCTTTCTTCATTCTGCATTTACGTCACTGCAGCAACTGCAGCCCCCACTGAGCTTCACTCACACCCCATTCCCCACCCCCTGACAGGATGATCTGCAATAAAAGTTAGTGCTTATATGCAACTGATCATCGTCCAAGTTAGATATTAATATTAATAGAGGCAGTGGAATTCATACTTCTCAGTGCAATTATTTCAGACCATCTGTAGACTCAAAGATAACACTGCATCAGTTTGCACTAATTTCAAACATCTGCAAGGTTAACCTGACAACCATGGGGGCTAAAACCTTACTGTGACACTTCCTGGAAGTACCCAGAGTTGTGAGGCATTTTGCTACCACCTGTCCCTGCCATGGGTCAGCTCCCTACTCCACCGGCCACTGGCAATATGAGCACTCCCTTCTAGGCCTTGCAGGCCTTGCTCTCTCTCTACAGGTTAGTGATTAGTGTGCGCCTATCCTCAAGCCCTCCAAGCGTCTCCCTGGAGTGTTCAGTCCCTGGTCTACTGGACACTTGCAGTGTTCACAGATTTGCTGCTTCCAAAAAAAAAAAAGGTACATCCCATCTTACCAGTTCTGCCTCAGATCACTGCTCCACTTAACACGCAGCACTTAGATTTGTTTTTTAGTGAAATCAAGTATAAGTTTATTAATAAAGCATAGAGATTAGCTTAATAGCAAGTAGAAGCATTGGAAACAGTTACATATAAAACAAAGTCATAGCATGCATTCTAGACCTAGACTTAATTAACAAGATACTCTCCTGTCTTGCAGAATATTGCTCTCCCCAAATCTTTGCAACATTTCATAGCCAGATTAGTTGTGACCCTCCTTTCATGAGACAGACAAGCTGTCAGCTTGCCTCCTAGGTGAAGGATCCTGTGCGTTTCCTTGTACCCAGATATAGACCCTAACAATCCTTTGTCAATTTCCTCTCCTATAGATTTCACAATCTCCTCTCTTGCCAATACGCAAATAGGCCTATATTGTGATGCATACAATACATAGAAATGACCAGACAAGGAGATAGGTTAATTAATTAATATATGGAAAATTACCTATCTCCTAGAACTGGAAGGGACCTTGAAAGGTCATTGAGTCCAATCCCCTGCCTTCACTAGCAGGACCAAGTACTGTCCCTGACAGTTTTTTAGTTGTTGTTTTTTGCCTCCAATCCCTAAATGGCTCCCTCAAGGATTGAGCTCACAACCCTGGGTTTAGCAGGCCTATTCCCCAACCACTGAGCTAACCCTCCCCCGCTGCTGCCTCCTGACTGAAAGGAAATTTCTGAGGTATGTGACCTGCCTTAATGCCAAGATCCTAAGAACACAGATTTTAATATCGATACAGACACCTTAAATATTATCTGTACATACATTTCACAATGATTATGTCAACCAGTGGGCTATTGGCTCTCAGTAGAGACTGCACATGCCACTCTTTGGTGAACAATTATGCACATATCTGACCCATAGATCCCTGTAAACCCATATGCACCCCCTGTGGTACCAAGAAGTACCTGGATCACACTTTTTCCTTTTCCTTTTTTCTTTTAAACGAAAGCTTGAGATGCTGGAGATCTGAGTTGCAAATACACATACTTCAGATGCTGAAGAGTCAGGCCACATGAAATACATCAACGGTGGCACATCCAGCACACAGGCCGAATTCCTGAAACCTCTTATCTAGAAGATCTAAGCAGGTCATTTTTATTTCTCTCCTGTATTCAAAAGATTCATTTAGTGAACCTCTGCCTCCCAAAAATGTCCCTGCTAACTCCAGAAACTAATATGCAAAAGGAAAAAAAAATGGACATATAGTTTTTTAGTTGCAAACTTTATTACATATTATGAGACAATGTCCAGTGGATAGATCAGAATGTCACAGACTATGCACTTTAGTTTCCCCATTTGCAAAATAGCTCCCTATCTCACAGAGCTGTTCTGATGCTTAATTAATTTACACTTGGAAAACATTTTAAGGCTGTGTGATGAAATGCGTTAGAGAAACTGAAAGTATTATTTTAGAACATATACTTCTTACCTTTCAGCACCAAATGCAGACTCTGTGTCAATGTATATGACAGCCCCATCTAATCCTCCCATGCTGATAGGCAGAGTAGCCAGTACACTCATCATAAGACAAAACTGAGTTTTGCCACAACCCGATGGGCCAGTTACCTAAAAAGAAAAGTATTCATATAAACTAGGGGTATTACACTCATTGGGAGAAAGGGCCTAATTCCATTTTGAATTATGGTCCATGGGCCAGAATAAGCAGTTAGGACTCCATGCACCCCTCTTCAATTTACAACACAGTTCCCACTGATATCAATGAGGAGTTTGCACAAAGATTAGGTATAGCCTTTATGTGGTAACTAAATTTGTCAGTTTTCATTTGTTCATTATTGTCATATTCAGTATCACTCGGTAAGAAAATACACTAAGCTTTCGGACCAGTGGTATTCCTGCCTTTTGTTTCACTTCCTTCCCATCTTCCTTTTTCTATTTCTCTCCCTCTGCTGTGTCACTGTGAGTCTCTTATGTTCTTCCCTCTGCATTGCCTTCCCTGCAGCAACTCCCAGTTCTCTCCTCAATGGGTTTCATTCCTATCCCCTTTCCAGCTGTTAAAATAATCAGCAACAAAATAATTACTGCTGTTACTGAAGTGCCATAACTGAGCTTTAGAACTGACATTCCAGTGAGATTATAAAGGGAGTCAAGGTGTTCACAACTAGAGTCACTGTTTCAGATAGACATCACTAGATCAGTTACACTCAGGTCACATTTGGAAGCCACTACATATGTACATCAAGCAGCCTGTATCTGGTCAAAGGGCTATATGTTTGACACTTCTGGTCAGGGCCGGCTCTGGCTTTTTTGCCGCCCCAAGCAAAAAAAACCAACAGGGGGAGGAGTGGGGGGGGGGGAGGAGAAGAGAGAGAAGGGGGGCGGCCAGGGCTTCCTTCAGCAGGGCGCTCGCCGCGCCGCCTGCCTGGAGGGCTCCACGCCGCTCCGGTCGACAGGGAGGGAAGGACGCGGGTTGCCCTGCCGGGCTTGCTGCAGACCTGGCACCGGCTGGGGCAGACGGAGTGCGCAGCCCGCTCCCAGCAGGGTGCTCTCCTCCTCCGCGCCGCCAGCCCCTACAGGGCGGCCGGAGCAGCGAACCAAAAAAGGATCATTCCCCTGTTAAGTTACTGTGTTTGGATAACTGTGGACAGGAGACAAGGAAAGGAGCTCATGAAAGTGTTTGCAGTTTGAGCCTTTCCTGGAAGATGCATGAGAATTGACATCATTTATTTCTTTAGTTACTCAGGTAGTCAATCCAGGAGAGAAAGTCTGGATATCTACAGACAGGTCTGAAAAACAATGATCTAAAACAACATTCTAAAGGAAAATAAACAGGGAAATTATAACGATCTAAAGGATTTATACGGGGTTCAAATTGCAACTGGACAGCTTGAGGGATTTGATATGAGGGTACACTATCTTCCCTGGTTGAATCCAGCCCAGATAAGTACTGAGTAAAAATTATTGCCATTTTATAGATGTTTGGAGGCCTCTGTAAAATGAATTGGCAGATCTCAGTCCAGTTCCTAGTATGCCATTTTCCGAATCACAATCAGCATCACCACAACGGCAGCTGAAGTAAAGATGCTAATGACTGAATGGGCTGTGAAGACTGAATTCCCCTCATCCCTAAAGCTGGTCCTTCCAGGTCAAGGCTGAAGTCTGTTAGAGCAATGTGAAGAAGCTTGTAGTGCTATTTCTTATGATGTATCTGTTCTGTGGATAAACAACCGCCTTCTCTCCCCAAGGATGGCAATCTTTCACTTTTTGCCAGTACCACATTCACTTAATAGGTATTTAAGTGGGATGTAAAATAATTCAAAACCATTCCACACTGACAGTTTGCTAAAAAACTAGAGTAATAGAAATGGGACGAAATTTAATAGTGCAAAGTGCAAGGTCATGCACTTAGGGACTAACAAGAATTTTTGCTATAAATTGGGGACTTATCAGTTGGAAGAGAGAGAAGAGGAGAAAGACCAGAGTGTATTGGTTGATCACAGCATGACCGATGTGATGTAGAAATGAAAAAGGCTAATGAAGTCCTAGGATGCATCAGGCGAGGTATTTCTAGGAGAAATAGGGAAGTGTTAGTACCATTATACAAGGCACTGGTGAGACTTCATCTGGAATACTGTGTGCAATTCTGGTCTCCTACATTTAAGAAAGATGAATTGAAACTGGAAAAGGTACAGAGAAGGGCTTTTAAGATTATCCAAGGACTGGAAAAACCTACCTTATGAGAGAAGACTCAACGAGTTTGGTTTGTTTAGCCTAACCAAAAGAAGACTGAGGGGAGATATGATTCTCTCTATAAATATATCAGAGGGATAAATACCAGGGACGGAGAGGAGCTAAATTAAGCACCAATGTGGACACAAGAACAAATAGATATAAACTGGCCATCAACAAGTTTAGGCTTGAAATTAGACAAAGGTTTCTAACCATCAGAGGAGTAAAGTTATGGAACAGCCTTCCAAGGTGGAGCAGAGGGGGCAAAAAACCTAATTGGCTTCAAGACTGAGCTTGGTAAGTTTATGGAGGGGTGGGATGATTAGACTGCCTAAAATGGCATGTAGCCAATCTATGACTGCTAGCAGCAAGTATCTCCAATGACTGGTGATGAGTAAGGCTACGATTTTATCATGGACATTTTTAGTAAAAGTCACGGACAGGTCACGGGCAATTAACAAAAATTCACAGAAGCTGTGACGTGTCCCTGATTTTTACTAAAAATGTCCATGACAAAAAGGGGGAGGGAGGAGGGTCCAGCACCATGCCCTGCAGTGGCTGGGAGGGACCCCCATCTGTGGTGGCTGGGGAGCTGCGGGGGATCCCACGCCACCCAGGGAGCTCTGGGGGATTCCCCCCAAGGCAGGGGAGCTGCGGGGGTCTCTTGCCACCCATGGCAGGAGGGGAGCTGCACGGGGGATTCTCCCCCACACCTCCCATGGTGGCTGGGGAGCTTCTGGGGGATTCCTCCCACCCCCATTGCCCACAGTGGCTGGGGAGCTGCCGGGGGTCCCCAGCACCTGCAGGAACTGGGGAGCTCTGGGGTATTCCCTCCGCACCCGCGGGGACTGGGGAGCTGTGGCAGACCCCTACCACTCCAGGCTGCCACTCCAGGCGGCAGGGGTACCCCGAAACTCCCGATCACCAGGGGATGTGGGGATAGCCTGCAGCTTCCAGCCGCGGCGGGTTGAAGTCACGGAGGTCTGTGGAAGTAATGGATTCTGTGACTTCCACAACCTCCATGACCAAATTGCAGCCTTAGTGTTGAGAAACTAGACGGGGAGGGCTCTGAGCTACAACAGAGAATTATTTCCTGAGTCTCTGGCTGGTGGATCTTGCCCACATGATCAGGATCCAACGACTGCCATATTTGCTGTCAGGAAGGAATTTTTCCTCCAGGGTCATATTGGCAGAGATCTTGGGGGTTTTTCACCTTCCTCTGCAGCATGGGGCACAGATCACTTGCACGTTTAAACTAGTTTAAATGGTGGATTCTCTGTAACTTGAAATCTTTAAATCATGATTTGAGGACTTCAGTAACTCAGCCAGAGGTTGTGGGTCTATTACAGGAGTGGGTGGGTGAGGTTCTGTGGCCTGCGATGTGCAGGAGGTCAAACTAGATGCTCATGATGGCCTTTGTCTTTTTTTAAGTTTGGTTTTGAAATCAAGAGTCTGCCCTGATAATAGAGATTTCAGAACTACAACAGTGTTTAATGTGTCTGTACTTTTAAAAAAATACACTTTTCTTTTTCAGTACATTATATGTTATTTTCCCAGGCACATCTGAACAGGGGTTTGGGGGGAGAGGGGTTGTTGGGTTTTTTTTTGGGGGGGAGGGGGGAGGGGGGGAAGGGGGGAAGGGGGAGGAGAGGTCTTAAGTAGTTAATTCTCCTTCAGCGTTACCCAGGGGATTAAACATTCAAATAGCCATGAACAAATTTTTTCTCAAAACAATTTGGTCAAAAGTTCTGATATTTGACCACTAAATGTCAGTTATGATTTAATTTCTAACCTAAACCCCACCAGTGATTTGGAGAAAAGGGTCAGAGCCAGAACAGTGTAAGTCATTTGCCTCTGGCACTCAAAAAGCAAGGACAAGATTTGGCTGTAGAAGATACCACTGAAATCCTCTCATGATTCATGTATTCAAATTCCAAATTTCAAACCACCATTGCTGTTGCATAGCATAAGAGGAATGGGAAGAGAAAACAGCAAAATCTTTAGCCACACCAACTGGGAAGCACATGCTCCAAGAAACATGCTTTGTGAGGACTTCTCCCAAGCTTGAACCAACTGTCTAAAAGCAAAAGTATCTCAAGTACAACATTCGGGTCAACTGTGCCGTGGCCCAAGAAGTTCAAGTATGTGGCTCACAGGGATAGAGGAGGCTCAGATCAGAGAGATTACAGGTTGCAGGATCACTTGACTTAAGACAGAGTACTGTACACCGGAACCTGAACTCTTTGTAAGATACACCTCCAGAATGAAGCAGCAGCAATAGAATGCGGATAGACTTAGATGAACACCTATATTGGCACTAAATGAAGAGTTGCAGTCTTGCCAACTCTTGAGATTTTGTTGAAAGTCTCGTGATATCTGGCGTTTTTCTTAAAGTCCCAGGTCTTGCAGTCAAGTGATTCAGTGAAAATTTCAGCTTTTGCTGTTTTGGGGAGTGGTTTTTTTTTTAAGTAAGGTTTTACTATGCTTGTGAAGAAAAGCCTGAAAAAGTGACCCAAGTTCTCCCTAAAGAGTCAAAACCCAGAAGGCAAATAAAAAGGACCCCATATTTTCTTTCATAAATTTCATGATTTTCTGGGGCCTGACTTGTGATTTTTTTTAAAGTTTAGGAGTGGCAGTACTGACAACGTAATATAATTACCCTGGAGCAACAATGCAGCCAAGGCCAGCTTACTGCTGTAAAGCAGATTCCAAGTGCAAATCCAGACTCAGCCAATAGGTGTCTCTTTTGCAGACATGTACTTCAGTACGTCATTTAGTCAGTAATATAATGCATAGATTTAATGTACTGTAAGTACCTGTATTAGGGCATTAGGCATTGTGATAATTAACACAACTGGAAAGTGGCCCTAAAGATCTACAAAACATTTAAATTTTCCAAAACTGTACATCTGTATTCATGTCCAGAAGAGCATTCTCCGAGCCCACCTTAGAAAACTTATGCCTTTGGCACAAAATGGACCCATCATTTCCTATAGCAGCAGCACTTTGTACATTTAGATAAAGGCCAAAAATGAATATCAATGACTTCTGGTCCTAAATTCTATAACTCTGTGACGTAAAATTCATAACTTAGTCTCTTAACTCAGGCAACACTCCCATTGACTCAGTAGCCATCACTTGTCTTTAATCTCTTTCTTGAGCAAGGTCAAAGATAGTAGCTAGCCAATTCCAGCAAAACCTAACCTCTGCCAATATCTAAAAGCCCTCATTCAGGTGAAGGTCTGGCAAGGAGAATGTATTGGAATGACAGTCACTTTATGGCTGAGGGCAAAAGACAAGCATCCAAGATAATGCTATTAAATCTATCAGCAGCCTTTTATACTGATCATGAGGTACTGCTAACTCACCTACAGGAACTCAACGTGGTGTACAGAGTCACATTAAACTGTTTTTGCTCATTCCTCTTAGACAGATCCCAGAACCACGACAGGTATTTTTTCCTTATCCCTGAGTGCTCACTTATACAGTCCTTCATAGCTCACTCCTGTCACCTCTCATTCACAATGGAGATTGGGAGATACCAGTGGCTCCAGTGTCATCAATAATCTGATAAAAGGTAGCTCTGCAATCTCCTTCTCAAACATTTATAGTGTTGTATTCACCAACTGTCCCAGTGTCTGGAAGAAACTAAAATCTGTATGAAAAGCATTAATTTAACCCAGGTGAGCAACTACGGTTACTGCTAGACAGAGAGAAGTATTTTCAGGAATTAAGTGCTCATCCTCTATTGAGGGCATCTGCATAGTCTCAAGATCCTATCTGAGACTGTGCTGGTCCTATCTGCCCAAAGAGCAACTGTTTCATCTTTAGCCAGCCATGAAACATTGCCCTTTTCCCCTAATGCAGGCTAAGCCACAGTGCTGATCACTTTCAGCCTGGATTGTGCAACATGACCCCCTTATGGCCAGCTATCAACACAGGTATCAAAACCCACATCGGAAAAAACCTTCATTAATTCATTGAGGGACAAAATAAATTCACAAGATACCCTCTTAAGCAGCTCTTTGGAGATAAACTGTACATCCTTCTACACCTGGAGCAGAAAGAAAACAGGTCTCTTTCATGTCTCTCGGGTCATAGCCCCAACCCTGTTATATAAGCATTTACTGAAGCAGAAACCACTATAGTTTAAGTTGCAATACTGTTTTCATTCCAGCCTGTTTTTACTATTACTTTCATGCTTCAAAGGTGATTTCTTCTTAAGTTTGAGCAAAAACAGTTCAGTCATGTTGAATTATGAAGAGTGGAAAAATATACTTTCCCCTGTGATAAAAGAATTTTTGCAGTCTTCTTATTTGTACAGCTCTACAACCACAATGTCTGAGTTTAAAGTTGAAATTTGACATGGAAATGGTCCTTACTGAGTGGAGGTGACTGTCAGTGATCCAGAGAAAATTGGTTTGGACTTGACTGAGCTCTGAGCATTTGAAAATTACATACCGAGTAGTAGGGTTTTTAACTTACTTCAAGTGCATCAAATCTAGTCAAATATATTGTGGGTTCCTATGCAATTTAAAGTGCTTAGGAGGCCTCCATTAGCATCTCTGCAGCTTAAAAAAATGCAAGGGTTGAAGGAGGGCTCCTACACATTTTGTGAGGTGTGCAGGGGTTGAGGAGAGCAGGCATTTGGATACTTCAGTGATGAGCACAGCATAAGAAGGTAGATGGATCTTGAGCAACTTGTAATCTGTCTATTGAAGATATTTATGGGTTGAGGCAAGAACGCAAGAATGGCCCTACTGGGTCAGACCAAAGGTCCATCTAGCCCAGTATCCTGTCTTCTGACAGTGGCCAGTGCCAGGTGCCCCAGAGGGAATGAACAGAACAGGTGATCATCAAGTGATCCATCCCCTGTCACTCATTCCCAGCTTCTGGCAAACAGAGGCTAGGGACACCATTCCCACCCGTCCTGGCTAACAGCCATTGATGGACCTATCCTCCATGAATTTAGCTAGTTCTTTTCTGAACCCTATTATGGTCTTGGCCTTCACAACATCCTTTGGCAAGGAGTTCCACAGGTTGACTGTGTGTTGTGTGAAGAAATACTTCCCTTTTATTTGTTTTAAATCTGCTGCCTATTAATTTCATTTGGTGACCCCTAGTTCTTGTGTTATGAGAAGTAGTAAACAACACTTCCTTATCTACTTTCTCTACACCCGTCATGATTTTACCTCAATCATATCTCCCCTTAGCTGTCTCTTTTCCAAGCTGAAAAGTCCCAATCTTATTAATCTCTCCTCATACAGAAGCCGTTTTTGTTGCCCATTTCTGAACCTTTTCCAATTCCAATACATCTTTTTTGTGGGGCGACCACATCTGCACGCAGTATTCAAGATGTGGGTGTACCATGGATTTATATAAAGGCAACATGATATTTTCAGTCCTGTTATCTATCCCTTTCTTAATTATTCCCAGCATTCTGTTCGCTTTTTTGACTGCCGCTGCACATTGAGTGGATGTTTTCAGAGAACAAAGTCACTAGAAGTGCTTACCTCAGCCCCTGAATGATTCAAAAGGTACAAAAAGTTTAAGGGAGGAATTTGAGTGCACCTTATATTGCCAAATTCTGTCATTATACATTACTACAACAACACTGCAAATTTCAAATTATAGAATTTATATCAATTATTGGCAACTTTTTGCAAGACAGCATAGTTTCTAAGTACTGGATAATGACGTTCTATTTTAAAACACAGACAGGAAATGCCATGCAAAAAACTATGTTAAGAAAACTTTAAAGTTAAACTTAAAAGTCAGAAAGTGACAAAGTTAAGGATTTACATGCAACTTTAATTCTGTCCTGTTGTGTATACACATTACAATGCAGTCTTTAATTACACTATCACATATATTTTTCAAATAATAAAGTTATACAATTTTTTTACAGCCTTAGCTACACATGATCCTTCTTGTAAAAATATTTTTCATCCCTGCATTCTTACACTTCTGTTTGTTGTAATGGTCCATTATATCTTTAGTAACTTAGATAGGTAAACTAAGGTAGGCAGAGAACGAGTGACTTGCCAAGGTCACATGGCAAGTCAATGTCAGATTAGGAATAAAATCATGATTTCCAGTCTTGTGCTCTAACCAATAGACAGTGCTATGGTCCTATTCTATCATGTTACAAAATTACATTTGACTAACTGCTTACAAAAATTAACTTTCCTCACTGGAAAGTGTCAGTCAGTGGTGCATTCATATTAAAAAATGTGAAGTGATGATCATTTATGATCATTAGGAAATTTTCAAACAGCCATTTAAGCAGAAAAGATAATCGCAAATATCTCTTAAATCTTTTTGTCCTACCTACCTTTAAAAGTGGAAGCAAAATAGATTTAACATACTGTACGAGTGGAGAAGAGTCCCACGTACACGTTTTAGACTGAAAACTCTTTGGGTCAAGAACTGTCATTTATTATACATTTAGATAGTGCCCAAATGGACCCCCCACTAAAGGTTGTGGCCTTTAGGCGCTACTGCAGTAAAAACTGTAAATATTAATTTTACCTCTGTGAGGGATCCACAGGCCACTCCACCATGCAGGGCTTTATCCAAACCATCTAGGGTAGTGGAGAAGAAGGCTGAGGATGGATTGATAGCCCTTTTCATTTTCATCTCATAAGCCTATAACAGCAAAAATTAACCAAAAAAAAAAACAAACCACTTTTTCAGAGGGCAAGAGAAATTTCTGACATTTGCTCTCCAACAATCTAGCATTATTTAATACCTGGCCTACAAGTTTACTGTACAAATCCTAAACTATATTCTCATCCTTCCCTGTGTTCTTTCTCCACCTGAGCCTCCACCACACTTAAATGCAGACACCACTAAGTAGATTTAAAGAAGTTTATTGTATACACTGAGGTTTTTGCAGTCTAGCTTTGACCTTTTCTCCCACATCACAATGTCAAATTATAAAAATCACTTTACAATAACTTTTCAAAAGTGAAGGTTTTTTTCCCCCTGGCCAACACGTGCTGCTTTTGATCTGCCTAACTACTACTTATGAACAAGGAAATACTAACTCTGTGGTCAGCAGAACTGTGCAAAACATTTACAGTGAAACCCAAAACCAAGAATTTGGCTGATTTTGAACTTGGCATCTCAAAACCATTCAAGTTCATTGAAAGGTTCATTAAGATTTGTAAACTGTTTGAACAAGTCTGGGTCAATACCAAAGCCTAGCATAGCTTTTGGGTTTTGTGAGCCTGATCTAGTGAGTACAGCACCAGACTGGTAGTCAGGAAATTTGGGTTCTCCTTCCAGCTGACTTAAGATATGAGGCCAGTCACTCACCCTTTTTTATGCCTCGATTTCCCCAAATACTGGGCAGCAGGCTTAACCAGTTAATATTTGAAAAGAATTTGGAGATCCTCAGCCAAAAGGTGCTAGAGAGTGGAACTGTACAAAGTATATGAAAAACATCTGTTTTGATCTTTTCAGGGCACAAAACACCACAAAGCAAAACTGGCTCCAGCGATATCCTGATAGATTTGGGTTCAGATTAACTGGAAAAAGGAATGCACGGAGTGATAAGGGATTTGAACACATTTTATCATAAGTACAAAATTAGTCTTTTTTTAAACTATGACATTTTACACTAGCTGTGGATCTGCCTCATATAGATTTTAATGTAAAAAGGGATCATTATGATAATCTAATCTGACTTCCTGCATAACATAGGCCATAGAATTTCATCCAATAATTCCTGTACTGAATCTAAGAAATTGTGGTTTTGCTAACATATCTTTTAGAAAGACATTCGGTCTTGATTTAAAAACTCCAAGTGAAAAGAATTTACCACATCCCTTAGTCTGTTCAATGTTAAAAATTTTCCATCTTATTTCCCCTTTGAATTTTTCTGACTTAAACTCCAGCCACTGGATCTTGTTATGCTTTTGCAAGCTCAATTAGAGTTTTCTAATATCAGATATCTTCTCTCTTTATAGGTGCTTCTTGGCCACAATCAAATCACCTCTTAACTTTCCCTTTGATGAACTCAATAGATTCAGCTCCTTAAGTTTCCCATTCTGAGTGGAATTTTCCAGACCTCAAACCATTTTTGTTACTCTTTTCTAAATCCTCTCCAATTTTTCAATATCTTTGGACACAGAACTCTAGTAGTACATCTGTATAGAACAGGGGCGGGCAAACTACAGCCCAGGGGCCGCATCCGGCCCTCCAGACGTTTTAATCCGGCCTCAAGCTCCCATTGGGGAGCGGGGTCCGGGACTTGCCCCGCTCTCGCACTCCAGGCAGGGAGTGGGGTCAGGGGCTTGCCCCACTCCGGGCGGCTCCTGGAAGCAGCAGCATGTCCCCCCTCCTTCTCCTACGTATAGGGGCAATCAGGGGGCTCCGCCTGCTGCTCTTGCCCCAAAGTGCCGCCCCCGCAGCTTCCATTGGCTGGGAACCACAGCCAATGGGAACTACAGGGGCGGCGCCTGCAGACAGGGCAGTGCATAGAGCTGCCTGGCCGTGCCTCCGCATAGGAGGCAGAGGGAGGACATGCTGCTGCTTCTGGGAGCTGCTTGAGGTAAGCACCCCCTGGAGCCTGC